ATTTCCACACCACTGTCAAGTTTTCAGCTCAGTTCCTGAGCCCTGATCTCAGCTACACCTGGAGTCCAGGATTATATAACTTAAACAAAAATTTTTTTCCCCCAGGAAATATATAAACCTCCCTCCTCTTTACATGAAGGGGAGAAACAGTTATTCTGGCAGAGCGGGGTGCGACAAAAACTTCTTAATCAACATTCAACTAATTTCACTATTTTCAGAGCCATGTCTCACTGTTTTCCGAAATAACTGGTACCCCAGATTCCTAGACAAGTCAGCTTGTTTGTCATCAATAGTCTCATCTGTAGGTACTTGAGGTTTCCATTGGCTAAGTCAGCTTCCACTCTTCCATTTACTGTTTAACCTCATCTATTATAATTTGGATTAACAAAGTTTTGATCCAGGCTATGGAACCTGGGTCAAAATTAAAAAAAACTCAGATAAGGATTAGTTCTAAGTTTCATTAAGAGGCAGAGGCAACATGAGACAGCTCCCCTGGTTAAGATTGAAAAAAAATAAACTAAGACAAGTTATTTTACAGATGAACTCTGGAAGCCAGCAACAAAGCCTCCATAATACATGAACCATAATACTAAGGAGCCCTGGTGCACAATGGTTACGTTTTCAGGTGCCAATTGAAAGGTTGGTTCAAACTCACCCAGAAGCTCAATAGGTGAGAAACCTGGTGATCTGTTTCATGAAAGATTACAGAAAGAAAAAGGAAAACGAAACTCCGGGGCAGTTCTACTGTCACAGAGGATCACTGTGAGTCTGAATCAACTTGATGGCACCTAACAACAAGAAGGTTGACACTGAGCTAGATGAACTATAAGGACCTCTGGTAGCATACTGGTTATGAGCAGGGCTACTAACCTCAGGTCAGAAGTTCAAAACTACCAGCAGTTCTATGGGAGAAAGATGTGGCTTTTTGCTCCTGTAAAGATTTACAGCCTTGGAAATCCTATGCAGGGCCACTATGAGTCGGAATTGACCCCACGGCCCATAACCACCACCAGATTAACTATGAGTAAAATGAAATATCCCAACCCATTGTTGTTGACTCAAGTCCAACTCACAGCAACCCTGGAGGACAATAGAATTGTTCCACAGGATTCCCAAGGCTGAAAATTTTTAAGTAAGCAAACTGCCATATTTTTCTACCACAGGGCTACTGATGGATTTGAATCACCAACCAATGTCACGAAACAAAATAAAATATTGAATAAAGTATTGTATAGAAAACTAAATGCTCTGTAACTGTCACCAAAACTATAATAAGATGTTTTAAAAAATGGTGATAGAGTAGTACAAAAGAAATGTAATTTTTAAAATCCAGAATAAGAATTTATCATAGGATTTGCTAAGGATTTGATGATGAGATTAAGAATGCACTGTGTATAGCTGAGCCTCTCCCCTCCCCCATTTTAACATAAGGACTTCTAATGGTAATATCAGAAGTATGAAGACAGTTTTGGGGGCTTTAGAAAAAGCAATTAATGCCTATCAACGTACCAACAGCATAAACAAATTTAAAAAGCCAAAGTGGACTTTAGTGAAAACATACTCTCATCCACTTACTCAACGAGATCTCTAGCAGACAAAAGCTTCTTTTTTATATGGGCTCAGGAAAGGATCCCGAGTGTATCCCTTATATATAAGCATAAAGCATAGGCTCTGGATCAGGGGTCACTAACTCCAATATCTACAGGTGTCAGGGTGCCACAGAGTGCACACAAGCAGGATAGGAACAGGATAACAGGATCGGAAAGGAGTCTGATGCATGGAGAATGCATGCCATCTGTGAATGGGCAGCTAAATGCTCAGTTCCAGGTTACTGCTGTCAAGAGGGACAATGGGCCCAGAGCACACAGCTCTTCCAACTTCTCAAAAGAAGTCAGAAATCTGGAGTTTTGAAATGTGACATGCCACAATTTTTAACTGTCATCAAACTTGGAAAAAACAAAAACAAAAAAACAGTATATCACAAAAAATAAAAATCAAGAAACTCCACAAAAGAAACCTAGGCAGAATGCATTCAGTCCTTGAACTGCCAGCTTGTGACCTCTGATTGAGACCATCAAATTCTCCCATATCCAGGAGACTTTCTTCTCTGACCCAGAGGACACCTCACCAGTGGGCTTCTGGGCCTGAACAAGTACTGTTGACTCTGAGCAATCACAATACTCTCTCAGTTTCCATCAAAGCAACATATTACAGTCACTGACAAACTCAGCACCTTGTCCTACCTTCTCAAAACATGTGCTGTGGCCTTGACTTTACTATGCTAGGTGGTCATACCACAGTTTATAAGCAACTGTATAAATAATACAACATAATAAAAGTGAATAACTCAGAGGATTTATGTAACAGTTTTCTCTCCATACATATCATATATCTATCCATGATAACACATCCACCGCCAGTGAGTCAGTTCTTGTATAGTTATCCGTTAAGAAGTTCACTACAAGCTAAATTAACTGCATTTTAATGTTGTTGTTGCTGTTTGGGTTATGTGCCATTGAAGCAGTGCTGACTCAGAGCAACCCTGAATAGGGTTTCCTAGAAGCCATTGGTAGGTTTAAACTGCTGACCTTGTAGTTCGAAGTCCAATGCTGATCCTACAGGGCCACACCAGGAGTCCAGTAATCTTAGATGTATTTTATTTTTGTCATTTTTAAGTCCTCTTCATTGTAAAAGAAGAATGAGATTATTTGTACTTACTATGTACTGGTGTGGCGCTGTGGGCTAATGCACTAGACTGCAAAGTTTGTTTGAACCAAAGGTTGGTGGTTCAAGCTCACTAGCTGCTCCTTGGAAACCCTATACAGGGTTGCTATGGGTTGGAGTCAACTCAACGACACTTATCAACAAATCTTCTATTGATAGAGTGCTGATGCTGTAGCGGTTAAGTATTAGGTTGTTAATCACACAGTAGGTCATCAGTTCAAGCCCACTGGATACTCTGTTCAAACTGCTGACCTTTTGGTTAGCTGTTGAGTGCTTTAACCATTGCACCATCAGGGCTCCCTATATAAGATAAACTCACTGTCACTGAGTCAATACTGACTCATAGCGACCCTATAGAGCACTGCAGAATTACTCCACTGTGTTCCCTAGACTGTAAATTTTTACAGGAACAAACAGTATCATCTTTCTGCCTTATAGTAGCTGGTGGATTTGAACTGACAACCTTGTGGTTAGCAGCCCAACACTTAACCCACTATACCACCAGTGCTCCATTGATAGAAGATATTAAGTGGAAAATAATCTTAGTCCTTAAGTGACATAAATAAAGCATTTTGATGACTAAAATACAGTTAATTTAACTTGTAGTTAACTTCTTAATGTATAAACTATACAAGGAAGCTTCAAAAAGTTTATGGAAAAATGGAATGAAAAGATAATGGAATCTTTCCATGAACTTCTGAAGCACCTTGGTCTAACAATGCTCTGACTACACTTGTAAAGACCAGTGAACAAGAGGAAGATCCTCAATGAGATGGATTGGCACAGTGGCTACAACAATGGGCTCAAACACAGCAATGATTATGCAGGACTGGGCAGGGTTTCATTCCCTTGTATACATAGTAGGGTTGCTAAAAGTTGGAACTGACAATACAAAACTTAATAACAACTACTAGACTAACAGCAAACATCAGCACACATTATCTTTGTGAACGGGCTTTGTTTTTTCTTGCACACAATTGGTCCTTAATACAGTTAAGCACTCAGCTACTAACCATAAGATTAGAGGTTTGAACCCACTCAGAAGCATCTTGAAAAAATAAGGCCTGGTAGTTTACTCCCCCAAAATCAACCCCTGAAAACCCTATAGAGCACAGTTCTATTCTGACAATCTTGGGGTTTGTCAACAGGTATATGTTGTTTGCTGACTGGTTGAATATATTTGTCCAAATTTAACAGCATGCTCCTTGTTTTCCTTAATTACACAATGAGTAGCTGAACAAAACAAAGAGATTTTCATATCTCTTAGCAGCAGAATCCTTTTTACAAATAAAATCTTATGTAGAACCCCAAGATATAAAACAGATAAAAGTGGAAGTGCCATCATTGAAGGGAGGATGGAAGAGTCCAAGAACTGCTACTTTTAGTGGTCTTTCCCCGTCTCCCTATTTCCTCTCCTCTTCCCCTCAACTGTCCCCTACTCTTTGTCCTCCACCCCAGAAGACTCCAAGGAGCTTCTTCTGCCCAGAGTTTGAGAATGACTGGACTAGGTGATGTTTAAATCCCTTTCCCTTTTACTTGTACCATTCCTTGACTCTGTTCTTGAAAACAATATGAGCAAACCTTTCTATCTAAACTGATTGCCTACTCTGATGACAATTCTATTTTCATTTTCTTTCTTCTTATGCAGCACTTGAAAGCTCACCCTTTGATTGGTTTTGACCTTTATAATTTTACCTTAAAAATCACATTACATATACACTGCTCAGTAAGTCTTGCAACAACTATTATTTATAAAATATTTATTTAAGTTGGAACTGACTCAATGGCACTTAACAATAACATACAGATATATTTATATATAGTCATTATAATAGAATAATATAATTATAAATATAAACTTGTGGATATTCTAAATAATAAATAATATTTATAATTCTTTTACAGTAATTAAAATTTTTAAATGAACTCTAAATTTTTCTTTGACTTGGTTATTAATACCAAATGTCTCTTAAGAACACATTTCTCTAACTTATTCTCTATTTTGGGGTGCAGGAGAAGATGCATTTAAAAATGGATGGGCACTCTATAATAAGCATTAGAAAACTTCTTGTATAACACAAGTCAAACTGTGTATGTAAAACACAAGAGACTATAAATCTAAGTGTCCCCAGGTCACCACACTACTATTTAAAGGGAAAGCACTACAGTGACTAGTCCTAATTTATTTAAAATTTCAATTAAATATGTCTCAAGCCTAAAAACAAAACAAAAAAATAACAAAGTTTTCTTTTCAAAGATAGAAAATGGCAATCTACCTGAAAGATCCTGAAATTCAGGCTTTTGACTGAAGATGAGGTAGTTAGTGGCAATGAAATGAAGCAGCCAGGTAGAAAGGCAATCAGAGTGGTGAAACTGCAAGAGAAATGCAAAGTGAAACAATATTGACCATAGTAATCACCAATATGACTGAACCAATGGAGGAAATTATCTGCGGGAAATCAGGGAGAGTAGGAGCCCATGTTTAATGTGTCTATAGATAATGCAGCCCTTAGGCCACTCTAACAGCACAAAGATAAAGGGAGCATTGTTAACAAATAGTAACAAAACAACGGCATCTAGTGAATCCTGGTGTGGTGCTGTAGGATAAGCACAGGACTGCTAACTGCAAGGTCAGTGGTTCAAAGCCACCAGCTCCCCTCAGAAATCTTATTCAGGGTCGCTCTGAGTTGAACCTGACTTGATGGCACTTACCAATAACAACAATGAAGAAGTCAAAAGGTCTGTCACTCCCAAATGGGAAGGAGAACATGAGAGATCCAACAGTGAATAACAAGCTATGCTATTAGAATAGCCACAAGTCTTTATGTAGACTCATGGCTGCTCAGCGATTAACAAAGACTATCTGGGGCTCTTGAGAAACGAGAAAGAGCCTCTTAATATGACTAAGACTTCTAACTCAAGTGAGACCCAATTTCTTCTTGTCCATTTTGTGTCTTTGAAGACAATGCAGCAGCCTGTCACTTCTGGAAAAGTTTCCACTGTAGCTCTGACCTAGATATGAAGAGTTCTATAGAAAAATGCAGTATTACTTACTCTGTCCACATAAGAGTTAAAGTGAACAGTTGTAGGTAAACTTCAGAGAGATATACTCATTGTTAGAATACACTGCTACACACTGATGTGTGTCTACAACGTGTTTTTGATTGTTGTTGCAGTTATTGTTTGTGTATTTTTAAGCTTAAGAATATTTAGCATTTTCATTACTGATTGTGTTATTGTTTTCAACAAACTCTTTGCTTCTGTATTTTATGGAACCTATGAGTATAACATAGATCTAATGCCATTATTGCTTCCTTGATTCATATATCAGAAAGAGTTTTTGGCTTTGCTGACCTCAGAAGCTTGACTACAAGTATCTAGAGATACAATGTGCTGAGGAACACGCGATTTTAGTGGTCACCTGAGTCTCAGCAAATGTCCCTATACTCCCTTTACAGTGGTCTAACTATATTTTGAAATTGTTACAGGAAACGCACAGTTAGCCAAAATCCTGCCACCTAGTATCATCCTGACAAAGATCAATCCCCAAAGAAGTGGTCAACGAAGACCCTAGCACCTGCAGCTTTGTAAATATCATCCAATCAAATACACTCAAATGTACCAGTCCACTTGCATATGTGGTTTTTATCTCTATTAATCTCTGAATCTCTGTAATGCCTTGGCATTTTGTCAAAAGCTTGCAAAATGTTCTTTCATTATAATAAACTATGTTTTTAATTTTGAACAGACTTATAAGCTTTTTCACTATGATAGGTTTTACATTTTAATCTAAAGACACAGACAGACTTCATTAACTGCACTTGTATCTATGTAGCAGAGATAAAACAGTGGTGAACAAGGGTATATTAACTTGGCAATATCTCAACAAGTGTATCTGAGGAGCAAACCAAAAATTATTTTTGAAGAGGAAATAACACTGTGTGGGTTTCATTATATAAATATTTCTACAACAAAATTATATCTGAATGGTTTCTTTTAACTAGGATGTACTGTTACACCAAGGAGGAATTTCTGGCAGAATTGTCCTCATTCAGAGTTCCAACAGCAGCTAATGGACGGGAAACTCCGGGAGCACCTTAGCTGTGATATCACCATCTTGGTGCCAATCCAGTGACCTTCACTGATGCATCCATCCACAGTAACTCACTGGCAGACAAGTTTTGTACATGAGTATAGCTCTTTTAAGGACACTCAAAATAAGTAATAAGAAAAAAATGAGAGATTTATAATATCAAATCTTAAAGAACTCAAGGATTTACTCTTTTAAAAAAAAGTTCTAATCTAGGAATATTCTTTAAAAATAAATTCATTATTAAAATGACAGAGGTCTCTGTCATTTTAATAACTCATGAAATGAGAATTTCTGATTTGGAAGGGGCTCCACAGTTCATCTAATCCCACCTCACATTTTAACAATCATTTTTCCTCTTATCTTTTAGAAGATGAATGTGAGTGATCTCAAAGGAATTAAGCAAACCAAAGTAGCCCTTTTAATAGAAGCCACTACCATTGTTACATGATTAGCCCAGAGCAGGTAGCCCCCACAAAAGGTCAGAATACTGCTAAAGGCTGAGGTTTGGGAAGAGAAGAGAGATCACAGAAATAACTGGGTACAAAAGCGGAGCTAAAACACTATATTTGCTTTCTGAACAAAATTTATGGTACAAAACTGTGGGCTCTTGGCAAGAGATGGAACACATTTCAATCACTGTAAAAAAATTAGTTTTTCAGGAAGAAAATGTGCTGAACTGAGAAGATAGGTTTAAACTGAAATAAGCAACAGAATAATTAAAAAGACACTGAAAAATGAAGCAAAAAACAAGCCAAATGCTGCAGAGTTTGACAGCTATTATGAAGAAGAATACTGGTGAAGAAAGTACCCAGAATCTCACAGGAAAAGGTCAGAAATTAATTTGGTAGCCACAGGAAGTCACAGATTACAAATAAGAATAATTATAAATTAATGCACAGATTATAAATAAGAAGACAGATTTAAAATTTTAATATGAGAGTAAATAGGAATCACCAAAGAGTTTTAAGGGGAAAAGAGACAGGGAAGGTTACACCTAAATTTGAAGAAATTGATCTGTAAAGAGAAAGAAACTTCTTTTGTACATTGAAATGGAAAAGCATAATCTGAAGACAGAATCATAGTAGAGACAGAAAGGTTACAGATGAAGCAGAGGCAGAAGTGAGAAAATACAAAAATTGTTTATCAATACAGAAGATATCAATGACACTTTCTGATACATAGGACAAAACATGTTGTTGATAAGCGCTATCAACTCTGCTCTGACTTGATCATGCAACAGAATGAAACACCTACCCCACCCTCACAACTGCAGCTATCTTTGAGCCCACTGTTGCTGCTACTGTGCCAGCCCATCTCGTTGGGGGATCTCCCTCTTTTTTGCTGTCCCTTCACTTTACCAAGTATCATATCATTCTCTAGAGACTGGGCCCTCCTGATAACATGTCTGAAGTATGAGAGACGAAGTCTCGCCATTTTGGCTTCAAAGGAATATTCTGGCTGTACTTCTTCCAACATAGATTTCTTGGTTCTTCTGGCAGTCTACTGTTGGTCTTGTTGTTAGGTGCCATCGAGTTGGTGCCGACTCATAGCAACCCTATTCACAACGGAACAAAACAATGACTGGTTCTGCACCAAGCTCACAATCATTGCTACATTTGATCCCACTGCTGCTGCCCCTGTGCCAATCCATTTTCAGTGCAGGTCTTCATCTTTTTCTCTGACCCTCCATTTTACCAACCATGATCTCCTTCTCTCCAGTGACTGGTCCCTCCTGACAATATGTCCAAAGTATGAGAGACAAAGTTTAGCCATCTTGGACTCCAAGGAGCACTCTGGCTGCATCATCAAAAAGAACATATAAAGATCTCTTGAAGTGCAACCTCTTGAAATACAACACTATCTGTGATAGGATAATATACATACGTCAACAAGGAAGACCAGCTAATACCACTATTACTCAAATGTATTCAACAACCACTATAGCCAGTAATGATGAAATTGAAGAAGTCTACCAACTTCTTCAGTCTGAAATTGATCAAACATGGAGTCAAGATGCATTAATAATTACTAGTGATTGGAATACAAAAGTTGGAAAAAAAAAAAAGAGGATCAGTTGTTGAAAGATTGCATGATGAAATTTTGTAAGGCCAATGACTTCTTCATAGCAAATACCTTTTTGAAAACATAAAAGAGGACTATACACATTGACCTCACCAGATGGAATACACAGAAATCAAA